TCTCTTTGTCGATGATTCTCAAAGGATTACTAATAAAGTGTCAGACATCTGGATGTGGCATCGGCGCCTTGGGCATGCTTCCTTTGGTTATCTGCATAAGTTATTTCCTAGTTTGTTTGTCAAGAATGATGTTTCTCAGTTTAAGTATGGTGTTTGTGAAATGGCTAAAAGCCATTGAACCTCTTTTCCTCCCAGTTTAAATAAAAGTATCGTTCCTTTTATGATTGTGCATTCTGATGTATGTGGACCGTCAAAAGTAGCCACTCTTGGTGGTGCTCATTGGTTTGTTACTTTTATTGATGATTGTACCCGCATGACTTGGGTTATTTTGTTATAGTCAAAGAGTGAAGTTAGTTCGGCCTTCCAACGGTTTCATAAAATGATTGCTGTACAATACAACAGGAATATCCAGGTTCTTCGCAGTGACAATGGGGGAGAATATGTTAATATGGAACTTCGTTCATTCTTAGAGTTGCATGGTATTGTTCATCAGACCACGTGTCCGTATACTCCTCAACAGAATGGGGTTGCAGAAAGGAAAAATCGAAACTTGTTGGAAATGGTTCGTGCTTCCCTACTTGCGGCACATCTGCCGCTCAATTATTGGGGAGAGGCACTTACGTCTGCAACTTATCTTATTAATCATCTTCCATCTCGGACTCTCAACTTCCAGACGCCATTTCAGGCTCTCGCATCTCAGACTAGCAGCCCCCCGACTCCCAATCTTCCCCCACAGGTCATTGGATGTGTTGCGTTTGTTCACCTCCATCCACCTCAACGGAAGACTAAACTTGAACCTAGAGCTCTTCGTTGTGTTTTTTTTTGGGGTATGCTACTACCCAGAAAGGGTATCGTTGTTATCATCCTTCGAGTAAAAAGATGTTTATTACTCAGGATGTGAGTTTTCACGAGAATGACATGTTCTTTGGTTCCTCCCCGTCCTCACTTTAGGGGGAGTACCACAATGATGAAGTTCTGACTCACGATAATAGGGACGTGTTGAGCTTGGAGTACACGGCTTCTGGAAGAGGGCAACAGCCCACGACACCTGGGGAAGGGCAGCAGCCCATGCCCGTGACACCTGGAGAAGGGCAGCAACCCGTGTTTTCTGGGTTTAGTCCTACCGAGCAGCTTACTGAGGAGCAGCCAACAAGTCAAGAAGAGGAGCAGCCCATGGGTCTCACGGGATGTGAGTTGGAAGATGAGATGCAGCCGCCCAATTGCAGTGAAACAGAGCAGCAATTACAGCATGTGTCACGAGATACTACTTCTCATAACCAATCGTCTTCTACACCGGATGCACCTCCACTTCGTCGCCTTCCAGAGCGTATTAATAGAGGTATTCCCAAACCCACTTATGAGGCAGATCCTGAGTGTAAACACAAGTATTCCATGAGTGAGCCAAACTCTGATTCCAGAGTAAGATACCCATTAAACCATTATGTGTCTACCTGTCACCTGTCAGAATCAAATAAGTCATTTGTATATCAATTATCTACTGTATCTATTCCTAACAGTGTGCAGGACGCGTTAGCAGATTCCCGCTGGAAAGATGCAATGAACGAGGAATTGAGATCGTTGAAGAAGAATGCTACCTGGGAAATAACTGACTTGCCAGCCGGAAAGAAAACAGTGGGATGCAAATGGGTTTATACAGTAAAATATAAAGCCGACGGAACGGTAGATCGCTTCAAAGCAAGATTGGTGGCAAAGGGGTATACACAGAAATATGGCATTGATTACACTGATACGTTCGCACCAGTGGCAAAGATCAATACAGTTTGTGTTTTACTGTCCTTAGCAGCAAATCTGGATTGGCCTTTGCAACAGTTCGACGTAAAAAATGCTTTCCTCCATGGAGATCTGACTGAGGAGATTTACATGGACCTTCCACCAGGATGCAGTGATTCGGACAGACGGAAAAAAAAGGTATGTAGGCTCAAGAAATCACTGTATGGATTAAAGCAGTCTCCTAGAGCCTGGTTTGGAAGATTTACCAAGTCCATGAAGGCATTTGGGTATATACAGAGTAATTGGGATCACACATTGTTTTTGAAACACCAGAACGGAAAGGTTACGGCTCTAATCGTGTATGTGGATGATATGGTGGTTACTGGTGATGATCTTGTTGAGCAAGCAGCCTTGAAAAGTTATATATCCACAGAATTTGAAATGAAAGATCTTGGTCCTTTGAAATATTTTCTTGGGATTGAAGTATCAAGATGCAAGTCCGGGATATTTCTATCACAAAGGAAGTATGTTCTTGACCTATTGGAAGAAACCGGTATGACAGCATGTAAGCCGGTGTCTACTCCGTTTGCCGAAGGAATGAAGTTGGGTATAGATTAGAACCAAGTACCAGTTGATAAAGGGAGGTATCAAAGGTTAGTAGGAAGATTAATGTACTTGGCTCACACTAGGCCCGATCTTGCTCATGCCTTAAGTGTGATTAGTCAATATATGCACAATCCAGGAGAACAACATATGAGTGCAGTTATGAGAATATTGAGTTACTTAAAAGGAAGCCCTGGTAAAGGAATTTTATTTCGGAAAAATGAGCATTTCAGAATTGAGTGCTATACGGATGGTGATTGGGCAGGATTAACGGATGATAGACGCTCGACATCTGGGTATTTCACCTTTGTTAGGGGAAATCTAGTAACGTGGAGAAGCAAAAAGCAGAATATCGTATCAAGGTCAAGTGCAGAAGCCGAATTTAGAGGCATGGCACTCGGTATTTGTGAACTCTTGTGGCTTAAGTTTCTATTGCAAGATGTGGGTGTCAAACAAGGTCTGCCTATGAAGTTATTCTGTGACAATAAAGCTGCACGGGATATTGCTCATAATCCTGTGCAACATGATCGGACCAAGCATGTAGAGGTTGATCAGTTCTTTATTAAAGAGAAGCTAGATAATAAAGTAATTGAGGTTCCTCCCATAGGAACGGACGACCAAGTAGCAGATATTCTCACGAAGGCGGTTTCTAGTAACAAGTTCTCCAGATTTCTAGACAAGTTGGGCATGTGCAACATCTATGGACCAACTTGAGGGGGAGTGTTGACTTGTATTAGGATTCCTATAATTGTGGGATTCCTACTACAATTGGTTTCCTAGTTTAGGATGTAATTATTCTTTCCCATATTTATTCTTTCCCATATCTGCATAGGGTTGTATATATACCTTGTTTTGATATGAAATAAAATATATTCATTGAAAAGCATTCTTTCTTCTAACACCATGTCATGTAATTCATTAGCTGTGCAACGTATTTTTTATATTTGTTATCAAATGTAAGACATGGATATATGATACTCTAAGACATGACGTTAAAAATGCCTCGATCCAAGTTCAAGTACCAGACACTACGGTGCTGAACTAATCTATGCCATACTACCAAGAAAAGCTCGAATGACCTTCAACAAAAGAGTACTTGTACCCGAACCGACACAGGTAGGTAGGTAGAGAATACCGAGGGGCGTGAGAACTCTTTCTAAGGAACTCAGCAAAATAGCTCTATAACTTAAGGGATAAAGAGTGTCAAGTTTGGTGTATGACGAATAGTCTGGAGTATAAAGCAAAGAACTTCCAAGTGATTTGTTTTTATTAGTTTGGTAATGGCTTAATAACAATACTCCTGGATATGTACGTTCTTTTTCGCGAGGTCGCATGTCCCATTTTCTGTATGAGGAGATAGTCTAGAATGAATGTGAACTATATGTGTTGATTGATAGTCTAGAATGAATGTGAACCATATGTGTTGATTGAGATTATGCCACACCCTATGCGAGTGAATGGGAGATGTATTTATTAAAAAGGATAAATTAAAGAATATTCCACCTTGATGAGGATATTAAACCTCCCAATTATCTAGGTGATAATTAGATGAAAAATAAAAAATATTGATCCTAAAATATGCTTAGAATTTTCATTGGCTAATTGGTCATTCTTCATTCTCCCAAACCAGTATTTAAAGAGGCTTGAGTGAAAAAACAAACACAACACAAAAACACAAAGGTTTTTCATAGTTCATATATTCTGGTTAGGTCCCTAGAGCAATCACCTCAGCCCTAAGTCTTGCGAGGCGAAAACCACAAGGGCAACTCGACATACCGTAGCCAACCCGACAACCTTCTAGGTTCTAGACGTGCAAGATGGTACAAAACCTTTGTTTGTGTTCGTAGGACTGTGTCGAGATCCAAGCTCCCACACAAGAGGTAAATACGTCCTTCTACCTAATTATGGATCAAGCTTCAGGCTAAGCTCACTAGTGGTCGAGCCTCACCCTACGTGAAAACGATCAGTATTAGCTCATTCAGCACTTGGGGACGTATAAAAGAACGTCATAAAGAGATTCTGTAATGGCTGTTGAAAAGGGAAATATGATCCTTACTATGCGGTTAGTTGTCAATCATAGTATAAGGTAACAAAGTAGTTCGACTAAAAGGAGAGCGAGGGGGAACGAAAGACCCTCAACCAGTAGAGCTATCATCTAGAGTTATATGCGCTCAAGGCTGCAGCTCCAATAGAACCAGTCTCCCACGAGCAACAGACCCGTAGCGTCCGAAGACATATGACTCCTTGACAAAACATGAACACAACATGCAAGCTCTTCAACACAAAATAATCGACTTACAATTGACTCCATCAAAATTTGAAGCCCCGATGTTTATCATTTCACCAAATTAAGACAAATGAGTACAACAAAAATGGAGGTAAAGTAGAGCTGCAGCAAAACAAGCCGAGGGAAGGGACATCTTGAAAAGACAAACACAACACAAAAATTAAAGAAATCAATCACAAACCATTTACGATATAGACGAATGATTGCAGTCAACAATCCCTACAAATCATTTAAGTACGACCGCAGACGGGAGCCAATATGATAGCGGGTCATATATGTTAACAGAGCCCCAAAGCCCTCAGAGAGTTAATAAGGCGTATAAAGCATTGTGGGCTCCTAGAAAGTCTTGGAAATCAACATAACCACAAGAACTAACAAATTAGAATCAAGGCAGATATGGATTATTTTACGTCAATGGGACAATCCCATTGACGTTCAAATATGCAACTAAAAGAAGAAAAAAGTCGAAGTGTCCACATAGAATATTGGGCTCAACAACTGTAAAACCCACAAAAGCAGCTTCTGCATCATTAACATCTCTCTATCTTAACAATGGCATTATTCAAAACTTCAGCTACTTCCTTTTCTCACACATTGCAGGGAGGCCAACTTACAACCACACCAAGGAATGGCCGAGAGCATCTAAGAGAGACAAGAGTATGCCAAAGCTTTCTCCTCACTCAGCTCCTCTGCAGTTGCATTCAACTTCTTCCTCGAGAACTCGTCAATAGAGAGTCCTATACAATTGTGAAACAAATGTGTATTAGAACTTTGAATGTTCACATTCTATTCAATTGTTAAGAAATGCAAAGACTACAGACTCTTACCTTGAACAATCTTCCACTCCCCATGTTGGCAAGTGACTGGGAATGAGAAAATGAGACCAGGAGGTACATCGTATGAGCCGTCAGAGTAAACACCCATGGAAACCCAAGTGCCCTGAATGTATCGTCAAATAAATAATAAGCATATAATAGATCTGTATAGATGTTCTAACTGAAATCCGAACAGAATCATAAGTACCTCTGGGGTTCCAAGTACCCAATCACGAATGTGATCACAAGCAGAACTTGCAGCAGATAATGCACTTGACAGCTTACGGGCCTTGATGATTGCAGCACCACGTTGTTGAACAGTGGAAATGAATTCTCCATTCAACCTTATTAATAAAAAGAATGCTTCACTGTAAGTAAACCTAATAATAGGACTAAAGCGAGTTTTAAATGTAGATCAAATCATGTACCATGCATCATCAGCAACAAGCTCACGGACACCTTTCTCCCCAGATGGTGTCTTGACAGTTGCATGGTTGACATCAGGATACTGCGACGATGAGTGGTTACCCCAGATAATAACATTCTTAACATCAGAAACTTGAACATTCAATCTCTCAGAAACCTGGCCCAAGGCCCTGTTATGATCTAGTCTAGTCAAACAGGTGATGTTTTTCTCAGGAATTGATGGTGCAAATTCCTTCAAGATCAATGCATTGGTGTTTGCGGGATTAGCAACAACCAAAACCTGCAAATAGGAAAGGGAGCTTGTAATGTCAAATCAATTTGAACTTCTAACTGCAATAAGTGTCTTCATGTTGTACAGAAAATGTAAAAGCTCTCATACCATAAGGGATTTTAATTCTTTTAATAAATCTAGGGTATTCAATTAGGATTTTAAGTGATTCTCTAAAATTTAACGTGTATTCAATCAGGATTTTAAGATAGCTTACTGTTTATTAAAGTCCTAAGAAATCTGGTGATTCAATTAGAATTTTAAAGAAGTTTATAACATTCCACGTGTATTCAATTAGGAATTTATTCAAAGAATTTTAAAAAATTGAGGAATTTGAGGGAATTGGATCCAAGTGTATTTTAAGCATTCACAAATCTCACCTCTCCCCCTGAGATTCCGAGGGAATTGAATCAAAATTTTACATGAAATTTTTACAAATTAGTTAAACTCCATCAAATCATAGATTTATAAATTGATCAAAATTCCTCAAAATCTCAATTGAATACACACCAATCCTGAATGATGAATTTGATTGGAAACTAAACAAAGCTATTTGGTATCCAAAAGGGAGCTTAATCACACCCCTTATGGAGAACATGACACATTCATAATCTTGCATCTGCAAAACCACCTATATAATTACATTCAGAAAACAGAGAAAATAACATAGCACAGTCTGAACATAATTGACTGATTTGTCATGATTGTGCTTGAAGATGTATTTGAATCGTGCACAAATTCATATCATAATGAAGTGACATATTCCTTATAAAAATCAACAAACTACGCAATAATTTCTGTTCTATTCAATATTTTTTACCTTGCAGTTGGGAGCTGCATGCTTTTCCAGTGCAGAAGCTTGGGACCTGTAGATGGAAACGTTCTTTGTCATGACGTCTTTCCTTTCCATGCCTTCTTTCCTTGGGAAGCCACCCACCATGACGGCGATGTTAACTCCAGTGCATGCCTCCACAACATCAGTTGTAGCAACAACACCTGATACAATCCACAACAGGTACCAATCACATCAAACTCAACCACAACATGCACGCACAAACACGCAGTTCCATATACCGATAACAGATCAGTGGTATTTACCTTTAAGCAGAGGGAAAGCGGCGTCCACCAACTCCATCTTGACACCATTCAAAGCCTCAGCAGCTGGTGGAATATCAAGCAAGTGCAGAATCACCGGCTGATCCGCTCCGAGCATGATTCCCCTTGCGATCATCGGCACAAGCGCATATCCAATTTGCCCTGCAAATCCACAAATACACACACTTTCAACTTCACTCACTCAAAAATCATCCAAATCGGATCGCTACTTCAACAAATCACAAGCCACATCATTTCAAAACATCGATCTAATTACTACTTCGTCGCTCCTCCCACTCTCAGCCCTAGCACATACACATACATATACACAGACACACAGACACACAGACACACACAGACACAGACACACAGACACACGCACAGATATATATATATATATATATATAATCATGTACAGATCTAAAAGGTGCATCAATCATATGAAATATACAAGTTAACAACCAAGAACAAGATCGTAGATCTAGAAGATCGATCAAGGCTTGCTGAAAATTCGAAGAAACAGTGAGATTATGGATTCGATACTGTACCTGCGGCTCCAGTAACGAGGACGCGAGCTGGTTCTTTCGCCATGAATTCCGATGAGCTAAGGAGGAAGACGAATCGATCGATCTGAAGAGGCGAGGTGGACTTGCAGATGAGAAGAGCTTACAGTCAGAGAGTAAAGTTGAGGGAGGAGAGGGGTATATATCTGCGTGGAATTTTTGTAGCCAAGAAGATGGGATACGGACAGGGGAATAGCTTGACACGGCGCCGTTTTGAAATTAAGTGGACGCTTTGACGGCGTCATCAAGCCAGTGACTTGGAGAGGACGTGGGCAGTATGGCGCGTGATGAAGAATAGGCGGAGGAGGGATATTCCGTTTAGATTCGGTCTCGTGATGTGTCCTAACGACGATCGTCATGATCCATGCGGAGGCCGTATAAAGTAGTTTTTAAAGTTTCTAATCCAATTGTTCTTCTTTAAGTCAAAAAACTTGAGAAATTTTTCAGTGTACTTGGCAACATGGTTGAGTATACCAATATAACTAATGAGAATATCTTTCTGAATTGTTCATATTATTATTATAATATTTAGTGTATTAGACCGTGATTTAGAAAAATACTACTTTTACGATATTTTTCATACCACAATCGTATTATCTCTCTATAAATATGGCATCCATATGTGTAGATGGGTCATTTAACAAAATGGTACAAATGTATGAAAAATATGATAAAGGTAGCATTAATCGTGTTCTGAGAACATAGAAAAATCTGTCAATGAGATGAGTGATAATAACTTTTTCCTTTACGTTTTCATTTCATTTTACACACTACTCCAATCCCTTAGCTCCGTGAGTCGATTAAACATTTTGCTTACATGGCAGGAAATTTGATGATTTTTGTTTAATTATTCCTACTTCCCTTCACAATACCTACTTATTTAATTTGATTTAATTGTTGAAGATTTGGAATCCAAATTTTATGCTTTGGCCTTATTTCATGGTGTGGATTTCGGTTAAGATAAAACCCTCCCTTGATATGAAAATTATTCAGTGATGAAAGAAAACTTTGCAGTTGACGCTTTACCATGTGGTGGAAAACAATCATACTTACACATTTTGACGTGAATTCTCTCTCTTCCAACAAACGAACAATTTAGTTAACACACTATAAACGGCCCAATCACAACTAAAGTTAAAGCATCAAAGAATTTCCCTTATATAAATACTCAGTTTTATGAAATAATTGGTTTCGGTGTTCCTTTATTTTTCCAGAACGTTCTCCGCTGCTTTGGCGCTGCTCTTCCTGCATTCAACCATGGCTACTGCATCAGGTAAAGTTACAGACTTACAGTTCTCGTCGCCTCCCAATTTCTCGAATCGATCGCCGCCTTTCAAATCAAAGTTGTCACTGGTTTTTTTGTCGCTAAATATTTTAGAATCTTGATTAACAAGGAGCGAACGAGGGCTTAAATTTTGAAGAAAACCCCATTCTTTTGCGTTTTGAGTGTGAATGATCAAAATATGCTTAGATTTTTGGGGGTTTTTGAATTGTTGGGGGAAGATTGGTCTCAGTTTTGTGGATAATTATGATAATTAAGAGCACCCCGTCCATTGAATATTAACATTTATTGGATATTTTCTTAATTTCGAGATATGTTACGTTGCGATTTTATCGGAAGAAGATGGATTGGACTCAACGCTTAGGTTTTTTACATTTTGTTTTTTGTAGTGTGAGTTAGGGTGGGAGTGTGAAATGATATTTCAGACTTCAGGGGTCTATTTCTGCTCAATAATTGGTGAATGAAATTGATCCCTTTTTGCTAATTTAACTACCTTAACAGTTCACAATGTAATTCTGCAAATTCTAGTTAGTTATCAAGTGCAATTACTGAACAGTTTGGTAAATAGGAACCCATTATGCATACATATATAGACAGAAACATCATGCCGATGTTGGTGTGAGTAATTTGATTTCAGTTATGTAATTGTCTAAAACAATTTGAGTAATTGACACTTTTGTAAGAATGCAATCCCGCAATTTGATTTTGTAATGTTTTATGGTGTGTGCAGCGGCTTTCAAATCAAGGGAGGATCATCGGAAGCAGATGGAATTGGAGGAAGCGCGTAAAGCTGGGCTAGCGCCAGCTGAAGTTGATGAGGATGGGAAAGAGATTAATCCTCATATTCCTCAATATATGTCAAATGCACCTTGGTATCTTAAGGCTAATCAACGAGTAAGCTAACATTCTAAGATTCGTCAACCCTTTCCCTTACTTAGATGTCAAGGTGACATATGCTTAGCGTCTTTTTTCAATTTCTGTGTAGAGTTTGAAACATCAACGGAAATGGAAATCAGATCCAAATTATACAAAATCCTGGTACGACAGAGGTGCAAAGACTTTTTGGGCTGATAAATACCGGAAGGGAGCATGTGAAAAGTATGTGGATCATGCATTGCTTATAATACTGGTTCCTGATTTTCTTCTCCTGCTGTCGTACCACATCTAGCTTGTCATCTTCACTAAGATATCGGTAACCGAATCTCAAATATCATATACTTGTTCACTAATTGTAGTGGGAGTTTAATGATCACGTCTTTCCACTGGGAAGTGCTTTTCATGTAGGGAATGACAAGATTGCTGATGGTGTTATGAGCTCACAAGATTCATATATCCACTCTTATCCAAAACTGGTTTGTTAGTCGATCAAAGAATTTAGATGCATTTACTTAATAATTCTATAATTTGTGATGGTACCATGAGTTTTGTCAGGAAACTATACTCGGTTGTTAAATTGTTGAATGCCTACAGACAAGTTTTGATCTGGTTTTCTATAGTCACTATAGTAATATAATCATGTTAGTAACAAAAGCTTGTGTATCTTATTTACTTATTCTTGGGGATAGGATGCATATTTTAGCCCATGAAAGAAAATTTAAACTCTTCTTACCATATTTTGTGTTAGAGTTGGGATTTATTTATTACCAGGGGGTTTCATCCTTTTCTTTTTACAGCTGTGGGGCGATCACGCATACCACAAAGTTGTGCATGGAGAGGCCTAGAAAAAAAGGAGCAAGATGGACAGACATGCACATTGCACCTGATGAAAAAATAGAGAGTTTTGAGCTGGATTATGATGGAAAACGGGATAGATGGAATGGTTTTGATGCAGCAACTTATGCTCATATCATTGAGAGATACGAGGCAAGGGACGAGGCTAGAAGGAAATACCTGAAGGAACAGCAGATAAAAAAGTTGGAGGAGAAAAATAATAAGAAGAATGGGGAAGGGGAGGTTAGTGAAGATGATGAGGATGTCGATGCTCTGAAGGTAGATGAGGCCAAGGTTGACGAAAGCAAACAGATGGATTTTGCAAAGGTTGAGAAGCGTGTTCGCACGACTGGTGGTGGAAGCACTGGAACTGTGAGGCATGTATTGCTTTGTTTGCTATCTCCTTGATAGTCTGTGTGTTGTTTAATACGAAACATTTTTTTATTTTGTGTATGGCCTTCCCCCAAAAGATGATTCACACATGGTTTTAATTTTGAATTCTCTTGGTTCAGAAATTTGCGCATTCGGGAGGACACAGCTAAATATCTTTTGAATCTTGATGTCAATTCTGCTTATTATGATCCCAAAACTCGGTCCATGCGTGAAGATCCTCTTCCTGATGCTAACCCGAATGAGAAGTTTTATGGAGTGAGTTGTCGAACTCGGAATATTTTTTAATTCTATGAATGTGAAGGAAAAATGATTTGTCAACTTGCCATTTTTACAGGGAGATAACAAATATAGAGCGAGTGGGCAAGCTCTAGAGTTCAAGCAGCTCAATATTCATGCATGGGAGGCATTTGAAAAAGGGCAAGACATTCACATGCAAGCTGCTCCATCTCAAGCAGAATTACTGTATAAGAACTTTAAGGTCATTAAGGAGAGGTTGAAGTCACAAATGAAAGATGCCATTATGGAGAAGTATGGCAATGCTGCAACTGAAGAGCAACTTCCGAAGGAGCTTCTTTTGGGACAGTCTGAGAACCAAGTTGAATATGATCGTGCTGGCAGAGTTGTAAAGGGCATGGTATATATGAGATTAAATTATCTTGCCTTGCATTAATGATATTTGTACCTTTTATCTGTATGCAAAAAAAGCGAGAGGGGGAGGATAGTGTCTGTGTGCATGATATTTGTACCTTCATTATTTTTAAATGGAGGGGGGAGTTTCAAACCCGGTCGCATGGGTGGAAACCCAACACCCTATCCACTAGGATGTTGGACCACATGCAAGTTGTTTGCTAACATAAATCTCTTGTGAATTTATCTGATAAATTAATCTACCTAGTTGTCTCCTAGGCAATTTCATCTTCAGAATATGCTTGATAATGTCAAGATTGCCCTCTAACTTTTATATGTAGCATCTTTGAATGCTTGGTAAGGAAATTAACATCTGTTTTCTTCTGATTTTCTTTGAAGGAGACATCCCTTCCAAAGAGTAAATATGAAGAGGATGTTTACATCAATAACCACACAAGTGTTTGGGGATCATGGTGGAAGGATCACCAATGGGGATACAAGTGTTGTAAGCAAACAATTCAGAACAGTTATTGCACTGGTGTAGCTGGAGTTGAGGCTGCCGAGGCAGCTGCTGACCTAATGAATGCGAACATTGCCCGCAAAGTAGCCTCTGAAGGTTTGTATCTTTCACATATGTTTTTGTTTATTTATATTAATGTTTGAGAACACTGTTTTTATTGTTTATGGAGAGTGCTTTATCCATATTATTAAGTAATATCGTTTATTGTGGTTGATTTCATCATTTCGTTTATTGTGATTACGATCGTGTTTCCAGATTCTTATTTGTTTTACCTTCGTACATGTGGATATGTCTTGTTACTTTGTTATACTTTGAACTTCTTATCACATACTCAGTTACATTCTGATTCTTCAAATTTTTTGCAGAGACGCCTGCTCCAACAGAAGAAAAAAGGGTTGCTACCTGGGGAACTGATATACCCGACGACTTGGTCCTTGACCAGAAAAAACTTGATGATGCTCTTAAGAAGGTGATCTTGTTGGATTCATTTTCATTTTCAATTTACTACTTTTAATGTCACTTTATATATTTAATTTAAGATAAACTTTATAATACTCAACTCACATCGCCACTATACTAGCCATTGTTTCCAAACTTTATTGATTGATTGTTCATGTGTGTTGCTTTTCCCAGGAGGATGAGAGAAAGACGGAAGAAAAGGATGAAAGAAAGCGCAAATATAATGTTAAATGGGACGATGAGGTATAAATAAATACCCATTATGTTCCAATTGTGTTTACCTTTCTTTTCCTTGTATGATGTTGCTCGTGTACTGTGCTTCCTGGATAAATTTTTTTACACCGTGTCATGCATTTTGTAGGTTACTCCCGAGGAGATGGAGGCATATCGAATGAAAAAGATTCACCATGACGATCCCATGAAAGATTTCCTGCACTAAAAGAGTCAACTGTATTTGCCTTTAATCTGGATACTGTAAGCTTAGAAACCTTAATTAGCATCTTGTCGATTAGGCTCCGAGAAACATTTGCAGAAAACCTGCAGTTGTCTGAGCTCTTTGGATCTTGTTATTTTTGTGCACATCTGTAGAACAATGAAATCATATTAGAAAGAGGACAATTGGATTCAACTCTACTGCTTCTCCATGGATTGTGAAAATTGGGATACTAGCATACAAATATGTGGAGGGGCCTTGTAGCATCCGAGGTTATGTACGGTTTCCGTCCTCCGTCAATATTTGCTTGTATAAAAAAGAGAAATGCTCTCCCTCTCCACGACTCTCTTTTATTCTAGCTCTTGTATTTAATAAATCAAAGCAGAACCAAGGGACAAAAACAAAGGGAGGAGTATAAAAGGGGAAAACGGAGGTGAGAAATCGTGTACCTAACAATTAGAGGCCAATTATGTATAGGAATAAATTCTACATTGTAGTAAGTTATAATTATTCTAGGTCCCATATTAAGGAAACTCGCCTCTATATCGTAGTAATAATTGTCAATAACTACAAAAATATGTAATGTCACAAATAAAAGTCTAAGATGAACTAAAATATTTTGCTATAAATGTTTGGAAATTGTTTTACTTTATAGAGATGGTACCACGCTTTTGAGCTTGTGAGTGCATAATGCGTTGTAAACATGGACATTTTCCTGGTGAGCTTTTCGAACATGTTTACAGAGAAGCATTAAAGAGAGTACTGCATACACACAAGCGCTAGATTTTAAGACTGTGTGTGTTTTTTTTCCAATGTTACATCTTGGAAATTGATCTGCTCCACTTATTGTTCTTTGTATTCAAGCAATTTTCATTAAGAGTAACTATGTTAAAAAATAAAATAAAAAATCTAGCTCACTTAGCGATAACCTCTCTAAAATTATAACTATAGATTACAACTATACCTCACAAGGGTGAAGAGGTCCAAAGTAACGATCAAGTAATGTAAAATAGATCACAACTAAACTTTTGATTATTTCATATCCAAAAACAATAATCTTTAATCTTATATTCTCGACCAATTCACCAATCCACAAAAAGCATTTCCATGTACATATTCCACAGAAAATATTATAAAAAAAATAATTGAAAGGAAGAAAACCTAAATTGTTTGCATACATCACCACACTTTCTGCAGGAATCACTTCATTCGTCAATCTCTTCACCCTGAAAACAAAAAACTAGCAAATCTTGAAGCTTGTTCAATCACTCTCATATTTTGTATTGGAGAAAAAAAAAAAAAAAAAAAAAAACTACCGAAAGTTAAAATAAATTATGTTGATTTATGAACTGCGAGCCAACATCTCCTGGAACTCAAGAAGGGATTTCTCCTTCTGAAGCTTCATATCTTGCCTAAACTTGTGAATAAACTCCTCCGCTCTTTCATCCACTACCCGCAGCTGAGGTGACTTAGCAACCACTGCTTGCCACGCATCTTCAACGCTGTACAAACTCTTCTTATCTCTTTTCACAACCTTCCCATCATCCTCCTCGTCAACCGCTTGTTTCACTTTGCTTGTTTCTGCTTGCTCACCAAAATGTCGATCCTTCTTGGCGTCCACACAGACAGCGGCAGGCTCTTCAAAGAGTTCGTCTATGTGTATGGCTTCCGTATTCTTATTATGATGGAGCTTGTTGTGGTACTGGTAGCCAGATCTTCCCAGCGCATAACCGACGTGGGAGTCAAAGGTGTCGTAGTGATGGTTATAGTATCGGTTACTAGGGAAGGTAGAGGAAGGTTTGGTGAGAGCGCGGAGTTTGGATGGGATAAGAAAATGAAACTTGGTCTGCAAGGCACGGAGGTGTCTGGCAGTGGTTTTGATTGCTCTGGGGATGTTGAGTTTGTGGAGTTTTGATTGTACTTTATCGGTGAAGCTCCTCCACGTCCTCTTCGCGCATCCAAACTTCTTTGCCAGCGTCCGGCATGACCTAGAAGTATTGGATCGTAACGAAATCATTGTTTCCTTTCTACACAAAAACTTTGCTGCAACATAAGGCAAATGAGGGTATGATCTATATGATGGCTCGTATGGAAGAAGCTTTTGATACCTTACTTTTTCTGTTTTGCGCTGCTAAATGCTCCCGTTTTTCGACTAAATTTCGGGAAATGCCATTCTAGTCATAGCTAGCCAGCCAATTCAGAAAAATTCAACTTTGGAATAAGAATGGCAAATTAGCAATAAAGAAATGAATGATGAGTTGGTTGCAAAGTGGTTTCAACTTTTGGCAAAGCTTGGAGGCCCCAGCTTGGAGCAATCTTGGGTCCTAAGTTTGGTGAGAGAAGAGGACCAACCAAAGAAATAATTCATGTTTTTAGCATTTGATACTTTTTGAGTTGTATATGTAGTGTGTGGTGGGGTTTCCAGCATGTCACGTTGTGTTCGTTGTTTTGTGGGCTGAAATTGTGTGATCTGACTATTTTCTACAGGTCTTCCTACTCTTGTACTAGTTATATGAGTAAATACATGAAAGATAATGTAGAGAAGGCAAGAGAAGCATAGAATTATGGGTAATTGTTCTTGATTAGTTGTGGTTTCAATTGAACATCAGTGAGTATTATATATAACTATATTATATATAACTACAAGCTTGGTGATCGACTTTCTGTACAAAGAAAACATAAAAGGAAAACGAATCCTATTGATTTGGTTATGTAAATGAAGACTGATTTCCATAAATCAGGAGGTGATTTTGAACTGATTTGGTCAAAAATTATCTTTGTGATTTGCTTGTGTGTATCACGTTTATCATGACATAATATGTAATAATTAGTAAAGACATCATTCTATTTACGTTTGGTCAAAAAAGAGATTGACTATGGTACATACATTTATCATCTAATATGCACCTATAAAATATAATCGTTAGACGGTGAATGTATTAAGTAAATGTATATGTAGCCAAGAAAAGAAAGGTAGAATAATAGTTTACATGAGTTCTGATTGGGTAGGTCAATTGATGTTCATGTCTTAACGAGAAGACAAACTCTTTTTAGTTTCAAACACCGACTATATATGTATGGTTCACATCAAGTGATAAAAACTATAATTTTGATTTCAAACACTAGTGGTCATTTTTGTCTCACAATAGGCATAATCAGTGTTTGTAACTGAGATATATAGTAAATAGGGTTTCTCCTTATGAAGATGTATATATGAATCAATTCATCTACTTGCTTCATAAATTAAATAGGTTGATTACGAAATTTGCTAGAGCAGCGGCTTCTCTAGATGAAATTTGACAAATATTGTGCCTTCTCCATTAGTACCATTTATCATAATTAAACTTGATGGTGGTACCCTTCCATAGACCATCTCCAATGCATGTATTTTGAGGTCAAGAATGTTAGTGTTTTGAGTTTTGGGGTGTGTGTATAGGAGTCGAGATTCTCTTCAAATCTTTGCGTGTTGAGCTCAATAATCTGGAGCTTTAGGGAGTTGAAGAGAGAGAAAAAGAGATCGAAACCATTTAAGTTGTGTGAGTGATATGAATTAATAAGGACTGCATGATTTACAATAATAGTGCAGATCTTCGAATACATCTACTTCAGACACAAAAATCTGAATAAAATTTCAATACGTTATATAGATCTACTAATGGGACTAGGATTCTCTCCCCTTCTCTTTCCATCCCCTTCTATCCCCTCCTCTCACATTCTCTATTTTGTCTTTCTCTTTCTATAAAAAATTAATATAAGATGTTGACGTGATTTAATCATGACCGTTCAAATAGGAGGGCAGGGAAGTGGAGGGAAAAAAAAAAGAAAAAGGAAGAGAATCCTACTCCCTTCTAATGACCAAGGTTGTGAAAATTTTGAGTGGAAATGTGTCATATCTTAGCCCACTTGCAAGGGAGAAAACGTAGGCCCTGCGTGCCAAAATGCAACTGTGTAAGGTCATCTCCAACTGAGGGGTCCAGAGGACCAGAGGGTCAAAAATAGCCAAAAAATCGTCTCCAACTAAGGGCTAGGCCAGAGGGTTCACGGGCCCCACTCTGAAAGGGCCAAAGGGCTGGCCCAATCTAGCCAGCTAGCCAGTCCGAGGCTGGCCAGAGGGATGAGTATTCCTGTCGAATATAACCAACAAGAATGCTTAAACAAATTGTTGAATCCAACGGTTAGCTGACGCTAGTTACCATTGGATTCAATTTTTTTTTTTGTTTTAATTCTTAAACATTCTAATTTTTTTTCCCTATAAATACCTAAACCATTGATTAAACTTAAGTTCTAATTTTTTTGGTTTTTTGGGCCAGTTACTGTTGTAGTTTTTAAATTTAAGTTGTTGGATTTGAATTTAAGTTGTTGTTGTAGTTTTTAAATTTAAATAATAAATTATGTTTGGCCTTATGGCCATTTAGCCCTCGGTTGGAGACGGTTTTTTGTGACAGGGCTAAAATAAGTCTTATGCCCTTTTAGCCTTCGGTTGGAGACAGAGGCAAATATGACCCTGTACTATTCATTAAAATATTAATATCTTCGAGGGCCAGATGGCTAAAACAAGCCCTTTGGCCAGCCCTCGATTGGAGATGGCCTAAGCCGAATGAGGATCCTCTTTGTGAAAATCTCGGGGATCCTTAAATCGTGTTTGTTCATTGTATATCATGCAGTCAGAAATTATTTTAGATTTTTTATTTTAAATTTAACATAAATAGTACCTGATAGAAACTGATCACGCGATATAAACGACACGATTAAAGAATTCCAGAATCCTCATAAAGAAGATTTAGAGAAGATCCTCATTCGTGTAAGCCAATGTGGCGCAGACCACAACATGAAAATAATATCTTTTGTTAAAAAAGAAATTTCCCACTTTCTTCACAAATATTGATTGGGTGAAGAGGATTACATGTGACTTGTGAGGCAGGCCTTTGCCCTCAACTTTTTTATTGGTCTTCTCGTGGTCTTTTGGAGCAAAAGCAAAAGCAAAAGCACAATCACAATTTTCTTTTCTTCAGATTTTTATTTTTTTACGTCATGCTCGTAAATAAAATAAAATAAAGATTATACAAAAATTAACTCAAAAATTGTTAACCAAAAAAAATTAAATATATAAAAAAAAAAAACAATTACTAAAGTTGGAGACTCAAATTATAAGTTTCCTAAGAGAAAGATCTAACCCAATTTTTATTTATGGTGAAACAATACTAAATTTTTCTAAAAAAAAAACGAAAAAAAAAAATAAGGAGCACCCATAAGTTGGTGGCGAAACTGGAAACACAAGATGAGGAGCCATGAGCTGAACCAAATGACCTGAATATGTTTCTTGATAAATTTCTAAAGTTAATTCAACTTACAGTATTCTGACTTTTCTTGAAAACTTTGAGCAAAGTTATTGAATTTCAGGAGAAATGGGAGGGAGCACGGTTTGTGTTGTTAATATAACAAGGGAGAACAAAACTAATTACAATATAACTGGCTTAATATTATAACGGTCATGCCTCGCAAAATACATTAAAGTCGATCAAATCCTTGTGAATTGTTTTTTTTTTTTTATGGTACTCTCCATACACTTATTTTTCTTTCATACACGCCTCTTGTTAATTTCTGTTTTTTTTTTATCTTGTTCAATTAATTCGATGCGACTGACGAAAATTGAGAGATGTATGTTGATATCACGCCTTTTTTTTTATCCGCATGCCCCTTCTTTCTTCTATAAATCAAATGGATATACCAGACTACGAGTAGGCGTGAAAGGTATGGTTTAAGGGTGTCGGACTTAATTAGTTTGAATTTATTTTTAATGTGTGGGATATTGTAGAATTTTTCAGGTTGAGGGCCCACAATACTATCCCCACTTAACCATCTGCACAATCCTCAAGTATAGGGTTTTATCACAAAAAGCCTTGATGTTAGTTAGAGAGGGGTATTTTTATTTAAACTACTTTCTCTTTAGCCTTCTGGTTGATGTGGGACAACAATGAGTTCCAACACTCCCCGCACGTGAGACCTCATTTTGTGGGTCACATGTGGATATTACATTGGCAACCATGTGGAGCCATGTTGAGACTCATCCATCACTCAGGGCCAATGGGGACCCACCCAATCATGTGGCATCTTTGTCCTACGTGGAGCCATGTCGGGAATTACCCATCGCGCGGGGCCAAACGGGGACCCACCCAATCACATGGCGGGTCACATGTGGATATTACATCGACAACCATGTGGAGCCATGTCGGGACTCATCCATCACTCAGGGCCAATAGGGACCCACACAATTGTGTGGCATCTTTGGCCTAGTGGAGCCATGTCGGGACTTACCCATTGCGCGGGGCCAAACGGGGACCCACCCAATCACATGGTAGTATGGACCTGCCTTCTAACTTTGATACCATGTAGAATTTTTCAGGTCGACAGGCCGAGGGCCCAGCTATGGTTTAAAAGGGTTGGACTTAAGTAGTTTGTATTTATTTTTAAGTGTGGGATACTGTAGAATTTTTCAAGTTGACTAGCCGAGGGTCCACTCTAACAACACTGATACTATCCCCACTTAACCACCTGCACAATCCTCAGGTGTGGGGTTTTATCACAAAAGGCCTCGATGTTAGTTAGAGAGGGGTATTTCAATTTAAACTACTTTCTCTTTGGCCCTCTGGCCGATGTGGGACAACAATGAGTTCCAACACTCCCCCGCACGTGAGACCCCATTTTATGTTCACATGTGGATATTCGCATCGGCAACCATGTGGAGCCATGTCGGGATTCACCCATCACGTGGGACCAATGGGAACCCACGCAATCACGTGGCATCTTTGGCCTACGTGGAGCCATGTAGTGACACACCCATCACACGGGGCCACACGGAGACCCACCCCAATCACGTAGCAATACGGGCCCACCTCCTGTCTCTGATACCATGTAGAATTTTTCAGGTCGACGAGCCGAGTGTCCACTCTAACAACACCGATATTGTCCCCACTTAACCACCTGCACAATCCTCAGGTGTGGGGTTTTATCGTAAAAGGTCTCGATGTTAGTTAAAAAGAGGTATTTCTATTTAAACTACTTTCTCTTTGGCCCTTTGGCGGATGAAGGACAACAATAAGTTCCAACAGATACCAACATTTTAGCCCAAATCACGTACAAAATTCTCGATCATTAAGTTCTCATGCAAACATTACCATTTTCCTTTGGAGTTATAGTTATTTTCGAGTAAATGGGTTTTGGATGTAGCAGAAGTGAGAATCCAGTTTAGATGACTTATCTTCATACAAATTGTAAGCGGTTCCTAAAATTTGGTGAGAAACACCCTAGGCGTTTTGTTGA